TGCAAGCCATCTGCACCGACCTGGGCGGAAGCTTGGACCAACACCAGTGGGACAGAACAACCCGTCCCACAGAAATGGGCAGAGTTGAAAGCAGGAAAACATGCCATAAGGCCCAGCAGGCCCCGCCCCCCCAACAAAACTCAAACTGAAGCCCGCACTAGAGAGCTTGGCAGCGAATACACCAGTTTGACCCCAACCAGGAAGATCGAGCTCAACGAAGGAGAGACTCCACTGGGAAGGTGGGGCTAATCTCACCTGCAAACAAACTCCAGGGGAAGACCACCCACCCAGCAACCTTACTGAATCCGAGGCAGCCCAGCAGTACCTCTACAGGCCAAAAAGATATAGCCTAACTGCAACAGAAATGACGTTGGCTCAGAGATTCCTCCCGAAATCACCAACTTCAAAGATCAAAGGGAGATAAATCTTCAATAAAATACTGGCAAACTGAATCCAACAGCGCATCAAAAAGCTTATCCACCACAATGAAGTAGGCTTCATCCCAGGGATGCATGCCTGGTTCAACATACACAAATCTATAAACATAATCCATCACATAAACAGAACCAAAGACAAAAACCACATGATTATCTTAATAGATGCAGAGAAGGCCTTCGGCAAAATTCAACAGCCCTTTATGCTAAAAACTCTCAATAAACTAGGTATCGATGGAACGTATCTCAAAATAACAAAAGCTATTTACGACAAACCCACAGCCAATATCATACTGAATGGACAAAAACTAGAAGCATTCCCTTTAAAAACTGGCACTAGGCAAGGATGCCCTCTTTCACCACTCCTATTCAACATAGTATTAGAAGTTCTAGCCAGAGCAATTAGGCAAGAAAAAGAAATAAAGAGTATTCAGTGAGGAAAAGAAGAAATCAAATTGTCCCTATTTGCAGACAACATGATCATATATTTATTAATTTATTTATTTATTTAATTTTTTAAAATTTGTGATCATATATTTAAAAGACCCCATCATCTCAGTCCAAAACCTCCTTAAGCTGATAAACAACTTTGGCAAAGTCTCAGGATACAAAACCAATATGCAGAAATCACAAGCATTCCTATATACCAACATCAGACAAACAGCCAAATCACGAGCAAACTCCCATTTGCAATTGCTACAAAGAGAACAAAATACCTAGGAATACAACTAACAAAGTATATAAAAGATTGCTTCAAGGAGAACTACAAACCACTGATCAAGGAAATAAGAGAGGACACAAACAGATGGAATAACATTCCACGCTCATGGTTAGGAGAAATCAATATTGTGAAAATGGCCATACTGCCCAAAGTAATTTATAGATTCAATGCTAACCCCATCAAGCTACCACTGACCTTCTTCACAGAACTGGAAAAAAACACTTTAAACTTCATGTGGAGCCAAAAGGGAGCCTGCATAGCCAAGACAATCCTAAGAAAAAACCTGGAGGAATCACGCTACCTGACTTCAAACTATACTACAAGGCTACAGTAATCAAAACAGCATAGGACTGGTACCAAAACAGAGATATAGACCAATGGAACAGAACAGAGGTTTTAGAAACAATGCCACACATCTACAACCATATGATCTTTGACAAACCTGACAAAAACAAGCAATGGGGAAAGGATTCCCTGTTTAATAAATGGTGTTAGGAAAACTGGCTAGCCATATGCAGGAAGCTGAAACTGGACCCCTTCCTTATACCTTATAGAAAAATTAACTCCAGATGGATTAAAGATTTAAACATGAGAACTAACACCATAAAAACCCTAGAAGAAAACCTAGGCAAAACCATTCAGGACATAGGCCTAGGCAAGGACTTCATGACTAAAACACCAAAGGTAACAGCAACAAAAGCCAAAATAGACAAATGGGATCTAATTAAGCTTCAGAGCTTTTGCACAGCAAAAGAAACAATTATTAGAGTGAACCAGCAACCAACAGAATGGGAAAAAATTTTTGCAATCTACCCATCTGACAAAGGGTTAACATCCAGAATCTACAAAGAACTAAAGCAGATTTACAAGAAAAACAAACAAACCAACCCATTCAAAAGTGGGCAAAGGATATGAACAGACATTTTTCAAAAGAAGACATATATGCGGCCAACAAACATGAAAAAATGCTCATCATCACTGGTCATTAGAGAAATGCAAATCAAAACCACACTGAGATACCATTTCACGCCAGTTAGAATGGCGATCATTAAAATATCTGGAGACAAGAGATGCTGGAGAGGATGTGGAGAAATAGGAACACTTTTACACTGTTGGTGGGAATGTAAATTAGTTCAACCATTATGTAAGACAGTGTGGCAACTCCTCAAGGATCTAGAAATAGAAATTTCATTTGACCCAGCAATCCCATTACTGGGTATATATCCAAAGGATTACAAATTGTTCTGCTATAAAGACACATGCACACATATGTTCACTGCGGTGCTATTTACAATAGCAAAGACCTGGAACCAACCCAAATGCCCATCACTGATAGACTGGACAAAGAAAATCTGGCAAATATACACCATGGAATACTATGCAGTCATGAAAAATGACGAGTTCATGTCCTTTGTAGAGACATGGATGAATCTGGAAACCGTCATTCTTAGCAAACTGACACAAGAACAGAAAACCAAACACCACATGTTTTTACTCATAGGCAGGTGATGAACAATGAGAACACTTGAGCACAGGGAAGAGAACAACACTCACTGGGCTAGGTTAGGGAACGGAGGGTAGGGGAGGGAAGGGACATGTATCAAATAAAGATTTTATATCTTGAACATACTAAGAACCCCTGGCCGGGCCCAGTGGCTCACGCCTATAATCCCACCCCTTTGGGAGGCCGAGACAGGTGATCACCTGATCAGGAGTTTGAGACCAGCCTGGCCAACACGGTGAAACCCCATCTCTACTAAAAATACAAAAAATTAGCTGGGCGTGGTTGTGGGTGCCTGTAATCCCAGCTACTTTGGAAATTAACGCAAGACAATCACTTGAAGCTTGGAGACAAGAGGTTGCAGTGGGCCGAGATCAAGCCATTCCACTCCAGCCTGGACAACAAGAGCAAAACTCCATCTCAGAAAACAAAGACAGTAACAAAAAAACACTAAGAACCCCTAAAATTCAACAAGAAAGAGAGAGCCCAAATATAAAAATGGGAAAGGTAATATACATTTCTCCAAAGAAGATACACAAATGACACTTGAAAAGATGCTCGATATCATCAGTCATCAGGGAAATGCAAACAAAAACCACAATAAGGTATCACTTAACATCTAGTACGATGGCTATAATAAAAATAAGTGGAAAACAAAAGGTGCTATTGAGGACTTGAAGAAACTGGAACACTCATACATTGCTGGTGGGAATGGAAACAGTACAGCTGCTGTGGTACAGTTTGGCAGTTCCACAAACAAACACAAAATACTATAGGAACTAGCAATTCCACTCCTAGGTACATACTCTAAACTGAAAACAGGGACTCAATCAGATACACATCAGTGTTCATGGCAGCATCGTTCACAATAGTCAAAAGTGGAAACAACCCATGTGTTCATCAACAGACGCATGAATAAACAAATTATGGTTTATACATACAATGGAATATTATTCAGCTATAAAGAAGAATAAAGTTCTCACACATACTGCAATATGGATGAAGCTCAAAAACAAATAATATAAGCTAGAAACAAAAGGACAAATATTGTTTGACTCCATTTCTATGAATATCTAGAAATATCTAAGCAAATTCATAGAGATGAAGGGAGATTACAGGTACCAGGACTGGGAGGAGGGTGAAATGGGGGTTACTGTTAATGGATACAGAGTTTCTACTTCGGGTCATGAAAATGTTTTAGAAGTAGATAGTGGTAATGTGTAAATGTTAAAAGTAATTAAAACAGCAAATTTGATAAATTTTTTTAGCTCATACTCATGTGCACACACACAAATGCACATAAAAAAAACATACTTTGGTATATCTGTCAAATAATGATCCTAGACCCCAGAATGAGACTTTACAGAAGTAGAAATCAGAGAAAGTCTGTGTTCTGCAATATTTAATTCTATAGCAATGCAAGCCATAAGACTCATAAAAACAGTGTGCTAAGAATTCTAAAAAAGTAACACGTAAGTTAAAGCAAAGTAATTTTTCTTTCTTTTTTTTTTTGAGACAGGATCTAGCTCTGTCACTCAGGCTAGAATGCAGTGGTACAATCTCGGCTCACTGCAACCTTTGCCTCCTGGGCTCAGATGATTCTCCCACCTCAGCCTCCTGAGTAGCTAGAACTACAGGACTGCACCACCACACCTGGCTAAGTTTTTTATTTTTTCTAGAGACAGGGTTTCACCATGTTGCCAGGGTGGTCTCAAACTCCTGGGCTCAAGTGATCCACCCACCTTGCCTCCCAAAGGGCTAGAATTACAGGCGTAAGCCAACAAAGCCTGGCCCACAAAATCATATTCTTTCTCATTTTTTTAATATTCCGAGAAGTTCAATAAATAAAACAATTTTCATATTTGAATCTTAACACCCCCCC